ACTTCTTTACCACATTCTTGTCAGTAGGTTTAGGCACCTTTTACATAGTGTCTGGGAAAAGAGCCATTCTTTGAGAGGATTATGCAAACACCTTTTTTTGCAAGTTATTTTTTGGCCTGCATTTAGCCTTTTTTTTTTTTTAATATTTATTTAGTTGTAGATGAACACACAGTATCTTTATTTTTATGTGTTGCTGAGGATCCAACCCAGTGCCTCACGTGAGGCACGCGCTTTACCACTGAGCTACAGCCCCAGCCCCAATTTAGCCTTTTTAAAGGCTAATTTATTTTATTAAACCTATGGTTCTAGATTGATAGCCTTCTGAAAAAGTAATTAAGACGTGTAAACCCACAGCAGGCAGTCTCTCACCCTGTTTGGGTGAGAGGCCTTCTACTCTAGGAAGGCAGCTACAGGGAAAGGGAATTAAATTTGTTTGGGGTGGTAACCCCACTGTGGCAGAATGGTCATTGGTGGACTGGAAGCTACAGGGAGAACAATTTCTTCTTGGCATAAAAAGAAGCTTTTGAACAATTGTAATTATTTAAAAATAAACAACAGAGGATTTAGATCAGTGGTACAGCACTTGCCTAGCATGCATAAGCCCTGGGTTCCATCCCCCACACAACCCAAAATGAAGGCACCTTGGGAGGTGGTGGGCATCTGAGCCCCAAGAGTGTTGAAGCAGGGGGCTGGGGCCAGGCTGGGTGGCCTGTGAGTTTTGTCTGTCTTTGCTTCCTGGCCAGAGGAATCCCACCCAGCTCTGGGATTCTGTGATGGAAGTGTGGGCTAGTGGCCTTATTTACTCACTTTTCTTCCTGCTCAGGGCCACAAAAATGCTTTCTCAGACTGGACTAAGGAAAGAGGCTTTCTGCATGTGAAGACACCTCTATTTATTACAACAGGTAGTTTGTAACACAGAAGATACACACGAACTTAGTTACAAAATGGAAACAGAATGGTGCAGGTTGGTCATAGAGCTGTTCTAATATAGTAATGGGCTTGGAGCAGAACCTTGGCTCAAGAAATGTTCGTGATTATTATTATGGTAACTATATATAAAAAATTAGCAGTCCTTGCCCTGTGTGGTGGTGCATGCCTGTAATTCTAGCAAAGGGGTGGCTGAAGCAGAATTGCAAGTTCCAGGCCAGCCTTGACAATTTAAAGAGATTGTTTCAAAATAAAACATAAAGGGTTGGGGTTGTGGCTCCGCAGTAGAGCGCTCGCCTAGCACATTTGGGGCCCTGGGTTCCATCCTCAGCACCACATAAAAATAAATGAATAAAATAAAGGTATTGTATCCAACTACAACTAAAAAATTTAAAAAATAAAACATTAAACATTAAAACAGGGGCTGGGGATGTGGCTCAAGCGGTAACGTGCTCGCCTGGCATGTTCAGGGTGTTGGGTTCGATCCTCAGCACCACATAAAAATTAAAATGTTGTGTCCACCGAAAACTGAAAAATAAACAAAAATTAGAACAGCTGGGATGTAACTCAGTGGTAGAGCACTTCCGCACTATGTGCAAGGCCCTGGGTTCCACACCCAATACCAAAAAAAAAAAAAAAAAAATCATTGATCTTTTTCTTTCTGAAGACACAGTCATTAGGTTGCTACTGAAATGACTAGGAATCTATGAAAACTCCCTGTGGTTGGCTCAGAAGAGGTAAGTTCTTGAATTTTGAGACTAAAACTTGGTTAAAGTGCCCACTCCCCCAAGTACAGGAAATAGTAACATTGCAATGCCACATTCAAGTACAGGGTACAATAATTTGTATTAACTAGTGTACAGTTCATAATGTACATGTATCTCTTGTGGGTATATATGGAGACATGAGGTTTATGTACACTTAGCCAGGTGTGGTAGCACACAACCATAACCCCAGGAATTTGAGAGATAGAGGCAGGATATTCAATTCCTTGTAGTTAGGAAGTTGAGGACTGAAAATATTCACTAACAAATCAGTCACTTATAAAATTGGTCCCTACTAAAACATCACTTCTCAACTAACACTGCTACCCCATGGATTACATCTCTGTGGGTGGGTCTCTTACAACTGTAAAAATTCAGCAAATATAAAGTAAATATTATGCAAAATACCTGCAGAGAAAAATCTGCAAAACTTGCAAAAGATGCAGGATTTTGTGAAATTCACAAAAATAATATTGGATAATTGCTTGATTCTCAAATAAAAATACTGACAAAGATGTGGCCTGTTTAGACACGTTTGCAAATGAAGAACTGTATTGAGAAAGATGGTGCCACATACACCCTTCAAAAGTAAGTGGTGTAGAGTTGGGGATATAGCTCCATTGGTACAGTGCTTGCCTTGCATGCATAAGACCCTGGGTTCTATCCCCAGCACCCCCTCCCAAAAAGTAAATGGTATCAAATCAAAGGACAAAGAGAAGTTTTGGGGAGAATTGATAAATGGTAAATATTGGGTAAAACATACACAAACAACAATCAAACAAAACAATATCTTACCTCTTCTGTGATGAGGACTTTAAAGTCCAAGAAAAGTGAAAGATGCTATGAAATATAATTTTTTTTAGGAAATGTATATTGAGAGCTGAAATGTAGTTCAGTGGTACAGTACTTGTCTAGCATGTACAAGGCACTGGGTTTGACTTCCTAACACTGCAACTCCTCCCAAAAAAAGTACACTGAGAAAAGTAGCACATAATTCATTGAGTGTACAGTTCATTTATAACTTAGACTTGCTAAGCCTAAGAAAATATATTTTAGTATTTTTTAATTTTTATTTTTTGGTACTAGAGATTGAAACCAGGGGTACTTTAACATTGAGCCATATCCTCAGCCCTTTTTTGTATTTTATTTGGAGACAGGGTCTCACCCAGTTGCATAGGGACTTGCTAAATTGCTAAAGCTGGCCTTGAACAAGATCTTCCCATCTTAGCCTCCCAAGCCTGGTATTACAGGTTTTCGCCACCATACAGGGCTTAATTTTTTCCATAGAAAGCACCAATTGAGCTTCCCTCCACTGATCACAAAACTGTGATCCTCTTTTTAGGTAGATTCATCTGAAATGTCCTTGCCTGGTAGGAATTATTCCCACATGCAGAGAGAGAGCTCAAGCAAATACCAGCAATCTGTCTCTAAGTTGCCTAATTCTTTAGCTAACTAGCAATAAGAGAGACAAACAGACCCATTGCCCTTTCCTAAAGCCTCTTGAAAGGGAGGGAGAAAGATATTTCCTCTTATTAGAGAAAGTCCTAGAAAGTTACTCAAGTTCTTTACAAGGATATTGCTGGAAGGGTTTGTGGGATGAGGTGGAAGTAGAGAGCAACTCACAAATCAGATACTTAAGAAACTTTAGAATTCAAACCTCAATGCTACTTCCAATTGCCATTTCAATGTATTCTTAGAATTTCAGAAATAGGCCTACATGGTGGGGCAATCACGACTCAGAAGGCCCAAGCAGGAGGATCCCAAGTTGAGGCCAGCCACAGGAACTTAGTGAGACCCTATCTCAAAAAATAAAAAATAAGGAGCTGGTGTTGTAGCTCTGTGGTGGAGTGCTTGCCTAGCATGTGTGAGGCACTGGGTTCAATTCTCAGCAATGCATATAAATTAAAAAATAAAGGCCTATTGACAAATAAAAAAAAATGTTTAAAAATAAAAAATAAAAAGGGCTGAGGAAGTAACTCAGTGGTAAAGTGTCCTTGGGTTCAATCCCCAGCCTCTCTCTTTCTCTCTCTCTCTCTCTCTCTCTCTCACACACACACACACACACACACACACAAATTTCAGAACTAGAAAAACATTTTATAAAATGGTCCCTGGGTATTGAATTGGGATTTTTTTGTTTTGTTTCGTTTTGTTTGACAAATACACTTGCAAAGCAATCCTTCATTTTACAGGTAAGAAAACTGAAAATAAAGTGGCTAGATGACTTTCCCTATGCCACAGTGGCTACTAATGGCTTGAGAAAACCCCAAATCTCCTGAATTTACAGTTGTGGTTCTAATATTAAGAGCACATTGAAATCACCCAGGGAGCTTTAAAAACTACTGATGTCTGGTCTTACCCCCAGAGATGCTGACTAAATTATTCTTGGATGTGGCTGAAATGGGAAATTTGAAGAGCACCCCAGGTGACACGCAGCAAGGTTGAGACACTGATGATTCCTAATTTTTGCTGTTGGAAAAGGACCCATGTCACTTCCACTACAGCCCTTCTCCCCTATCTTTTCACTTTTCCCTCCCAATTAATCCAATTCTTTCTCTGGTGTTGCCACATTCCTACAATTACTGAAGTTCAAATGCCCCAAAAGGAGTAGTTGGGTGAACACAGCCTTCAGGCAGTGGGTGGAGAAGTGAAGGAGGTGAGAGGGGAAAAAACAGCAGGCACTAGCAGCAGGCACCAAGTCCTCCAAGCCTAGTAACAAAGGGACAGTGGGCTTCAAACCCTAATGCACCAACGTGCCCACACCGTTCCCACCATAGCCACCTACCCCAATTCAAGTTTATTCTGAATATGCTCAAGGTCTGGAGGCTACCATGGGGCATCAGGCAGCAGAAGCTAACCAACCTGAGTTCCTGCGACTGCAAATGATTCAAATGACTCGTGGAGCTGAAAACCGCCCACTGCTGTGCTGATGAGACCTTGAAGCCAGCCCCGGAACAACCCGGTTCACCTCCTAATCGCTCTCCCCTTAGCCGTGGGAGTCTTTTCATTCTGCTTAGTTGGGTGTGTAAAAATGAGTGTTGGACCCCTGACCGAGTACGGCGGTGGTAAAAAGGCAAATTTAAATATTAACCTTTCCTTCAGTAAAAGGTGATCGATACAATGAGAAAAACCTAGTCCACAAGACAAAAACCTTGTACTTGGCTGTTCACACCGGTCATCACCGCCGGTGACCCTTTCAACAGCCGATTCCTCCCCCGACCCCCAGGCCAGCTTCTCCTAGATCTCGCGAGAGGTCCTGACCCCTCCTCCTGGAGAATACACCAATCAGTGATGCCCCTTGAAGTCCCCTCTAGGCTAAGGATTCCCAGGTGGCTCTCCCTTGGCTTTCAGGGACTTCCTAGATGGGTGAGGAGTGCAGCTTCCGTGGTCATCACCAGGAAGCCCAAGGGTTGCAGGCTTTCCCACAATCAACCAACCAGGCACGTGTCCGACCCCGCTGGCCCCGTGTACACCAGGTCCGACAGCGCCGGCGGCACCAATGATGTAGACCCACCGTTTTCCTGCACAGGTGTTCACCAGCGAAATTCTGCTTTCCAATCCAAATCACGGTAATCAAAAGTTGAATTCTCAAATGATATCCAGATTCCGTGGTTTCATCCGATCATTTCTGGTGCATACATTCTGTGATGTATTGAAGGAAAGAGAAATCGACATGGTACTTTATGCCTCAGGACACCAATAACTTGAGCAACACTCTTCTTGTTGCAGATTATTTTTGTAGCATATTCTAGGACCGTAATAGAAAAGCACTTCGAAACTACTACCAATTAAAGGTTTGCTTGGCTTTATTTTGTATTTTTAATTTTGGGGGGTGGTGGTGGAGATACTGGCAATGGAACGCAGAAGTGCCCTAACACTGAATTACCTCCTCAGCCCCTTTTATATTTATTTTGAGATAGATCCTCGCCAAATTGCCCAGTCTGGCCTGAAACTAGTGTTGCTCCTGCCTCAGCCTCTCAAGTAGCTAGAATTATAGGCTTGAGCCAGCACCCTTGGATCCTATTAAAAATTTTAATTAGAAATGTGAGCTAGTTAGCGATCGAATTGCTTCACCAATTGCTTTAGGGGACTGGCGACTCAGCCCATTCATTCCATAAACATTTTTGAGAGAGGCATCTTATGTGATTAGTTCTGGGCAGTGGACGCAGGCAAATAAGGTTCAGACCTTCCATGAATTTACAGTCCAATGGAGAAGATAAATATCTGGACTATATAGATGGCTGGGATGTGTGGTATGTGCTACAGGAGAAAGAAGTATAATTGACTTCCTAAAATTCTCTGTCACATCAGTGGTGACACCAAAACTGGGGAAAATAAAACTTCCTGGTTTAACATATCCTAACACATCTTTGTCTAAAACTTTCCACATTACATTGGGGCTTAGCTCCTGTCTGTTAGGGACCTACTGAAGGTGACAATAGCAAGAGCCAAGATGATACCCTAGATACATGTGTGACTGCACAAATGGTGCGACGCTATGCTACATCGTGTACAACCAGAGAAATGAAAGTTGTGCTGCAGTTGTGTTCAATGAATCAAAATGCATTCTGCATTCATATATACCTAATTAGAATAAATGAATAAATAATTTTTTTAAAAGAAGCAGCCAAGATGAAAAGAAATTGCAAGCAATGCCTGTAATACCAGAGGCTCCAGAGGCTGAGGCAGGAGGATTGCAAGTTCAAAACCAGCCTCAGCAAAATCGAGGAGCTAAGCAACGCAGTGAGACCTTGTCTCTAAACAAAATACAAAATAGGGTGGAGGATGTGGCTCAGTCATTGAGTGCCCCTAAGTTTAATCCCAGTACCAAAAAGAAAAAAAAAATTGCAGCCAAAAGAAATTTCAGAAAGAGGAAGTCCATAGCCTATTGTAATGGTGAGGAAGATGACAGTTGAAATGGAGAATTAACTTTGGGTTAGATTCATTAGGGCTAGATTATGAATGTTATTATGTGTCTGATGGCAACAAGAGGCTTTCGGGGAGGATGGTGGAGAGGGATTCATTTTGCTTTATTCCTTTTTTTTTTCTAATCTCAGTGAAGAAATTTGAGCTAAAAACTTGATTTTGAAAATGAATGTCAGTAGAGGGGGCAGAGAGAGAAGAGGGGAGGGGAGGGGAGAGGGGATAGTAGAGGATAGGAAAGGCAGCAGAATACAACAGACACTAGTATGGCAATATGTAAATCAATGGATGTGTAACTGATGTGATTCTGCAATCTGTATATGGGGTAAAAATGGGAGCTCATAACCCACTTGAATCAAATTGTGAAATATGATATATCAAGAACTATGTAATGTTTTGAACAGCCAATAATAAAAAATTAAAAAAAAAAACAAAAAAAACCTTGATTTTGAAATACTTCATTAATTCATGCAAAATTCCTTTATTTTACTTCTTTTTCCTAATAGCAAAGTCTTTTTTCATCATCACACCCATTCTAATAAATTTAATATATCTTCCCATAATTCCTATAATATAATCCTATAATTCTATAATCAGGAGGCTGAGGCAAAAGGATTGCAAGTTCAAGGCCAGCCTCAGCAATTTAGTGGGGCTCCAAACAACTCAGAAAGACCCTGTGTCAAAATTTAAAGAAATAAAATAAAAGGACTGGGAACGTGGCTCAGTAGTTAAGCACCCCTGGATCCAATCCCCAGTACCAAAAGGAGAAGGACTGTGCAGGAATGAATTATCTGACTTGCAAAGCCAAGAGATGAAACTTGTAGGTATTCTCTAGGAAGTTTTTGATAAATTTAGATTACAAATGCAAAATACTTCCTGGTGTAGACTTTTTTTTTCCTCAATCAATTTTTGTTCCCAGTTTCCATGTTTGGTTAGTTTGTACTGACGTGGCCTAAAACATTATTTGACATGGTCGATCTTCACCATGGCCTGGTAATGTCAGTCAAAGAAGTGGAGCTGCAAGACCAAAGTGCCCTGCAGAGCAGAAGCCTGGTCTCACAGAGGAGCTATGCCTCCCTCCCTATCTTCAGCAAGTATTCTTGAGTTAGGGAATTGGGTAGAATATTAAATTGACAATAATAATGATGAACATTTATAGAGTAATTTGGACCTGATACTCAAGAACTGTGATTCTCAAAGTAGCAGCTTAGGGATCACCTGGGACACTGGGTGGTACAAATACAGAATCTTGGGGCCTGACCCAGACATACAGAATCAGAATCTACTTTTAACAAGGTGTTCAAGGGATTCTATATACATTATAGTTTAAGAAATAGCTTCAGTCTGTGCCAAATATTTTTCACATGGATTGTCTTATTTAAAGTCTTTCCAACACCCCTTATTTCCTGAGGTATAGTTATAATGTAACTCCTATGATACTACAGAAGAAACTGAGGCTAAGCAGGTTAAAGTGACTAGCCCAAGAGAATCCAGAAGAATCACCCACAAAGTGATATTCAGAAAAACCAAATGCCAAATGTTTTCTCTGATATAAGGAGGCTGTTCATAGTGGGTTTGGGAGGCGAGCATGGGAGGATTAAACAAATTTTAAATAGGGCAAAGGGGTGGGAGGGGAAAGAAGGAGGCATGGGGTTAAAAAAGATGGTGGAATGAGTTGGACATCATTACCCTAAGTACATGTATGAAGACACAAATGGTGTGAATATACTTTGTATACAACCAGAGATATGAAAAATTGTGCTCTATATGTGTAATATGAATTGTAATGCATTCTGCTGTCATATATAACAAATTAGAATAAAAAAAGAAAGTTCTACATATATGACTACACATATGATGTGACACTATATCATGTACAACCAGAGAAGTGAAAAGTTGGGCTGCAATTGTGTACAAAGAATCAAAATGCATTCTTCTGTTATATATACCTAATTATTTGATTAGAATAAATAAATTAATTAAAATTTTAAAAAAAATTTCAGGGCTGGGGTTGTGGCTCAGCTGTAGAGCAACCGCCTAGCACTTGTGAGGCGCTTGGTTCAATCTCCAGCACCACATAAAAATAAATAAAGATTGTGTCCAACTACTATATATATATGTCTATATATATTTTTTCAGACTCTGCATCTGTCTCTCAAGGTCATATTTTGTTTTAATGCCCTGTTCTCCATGCCCCATTTTCCCTCACTCCAATAGGAAAACACCTAGGAAAAGTTCGTTACTATACTCTTGAATGCATCAATGTCCATTGGAGGTAAGGCTTCCAATTCTTGTGGTTTTCAGGGTGCTGGGTGCAAATTGCCTGCTTGAGACCAAAAGCATTCACTGAGGCTTTAGCTTCAGCCCCTCTCCTCTGCTTTCAATGCAAGTTCGAGTTAGGAAGATGTTTTTTCTGAATGTTTTTATTCCAAAAATTTCTATGTTGAAATCCTAACCTTATCTGAGATGATGGTATGAGGTGGGGCATTTCTGGAGGTGATTAGGGGTTATGGGGACTTCTTTACTCCTTCAACCATTAGAGGACACAGTGAGAAAGTGCCATCCTTGAGAAAGCGGGCTATCACCAGACATTGAATCTGCTAGCACCTTGATCTTGAACATCCCAGCCTCCAGGACTGTGAGAAGTTTCTTTTGTTTATAAGTTATCCAGTTTATTGCATTTTGTTATGGTAACCCAAAGGGACTAAGACAGGGAACAGCTAGACCTTCATTGAATTTGTGGTGGGAGGAGATACTAGTGGGTCATCTCTTCTGAGTGAAGTTTACCCAGTTCCATTTTTCTTCTTAAAAGTTTAAGCAAAGATGCTTAACCTGGAGTTCCCCAGTTCCCAAAGATAGAATACAGGGGGGCCTGTGAAACGGAATGGGAAAAAATTAACATCTTTATTTTCACTAAACTTTAAACAAACAGCATCTTCTTCACTATAATGATAGGAAAAAAAACACAGTAGCATTGGTAGTACCTGTGACTTGTCACTAATAGAAATCACAGATATTCCCATATTGTATTATAGCTATTGCACACCTCCAAATCTCATTTATGCTCTTTACAATCTTAACATTACTTCAGTTATTAAACTTACTCTAGATCTTGTTATTAAATATTTTAATAAAGGAGCACTATAGTGTTAAGAGTACCATTTCATTTTTTTATATTTTATAACTGAATATCAGTAAAATGGTTTCCTTGTTAATCTTATGAACTTCATTTTATGAACCTAAAAATATTCTGAGAAGGGATTTATTAAAATATATTAAACTTTAAAAACATCATTTCATATGGTGGCACATGCCTGTAATCCCAGCAACTTGGAAGGCTAAGGCAGAGGATTGCAAATTAAAGGCAAGCCTGGGCAACTTAGTGAGACCCTGTCTCAAAAAATAATAAAATAAAAAGAGTTGGGAATGTAGGTCAGTGGTAGAGCACCCCTGGGTTCAATACCTGAAATAGCAAAAAAATAAAATAAAAAAATAAAAGGACAATTTCAGATTCTGGAACCTCCAGTCTGTCTTTGGTTGTTTGGGATTGGTGTGGTTCACTCTCTATATTGGTTTTATATGTTATCAGTAACAACATAGCATTTAAACCCAAAAGGGTCTGCATTCTTTCTTCAAGAGTGAAAGGATTTCTTGAGCAGACTACACTCCATTCCACAACCAGGTTTGGAGGAATGTGGGCTAGAGGACCCTAAGGGAGAGTGTGCATGGCCCTTGCCCTTCTTAAAGATTCCTCAACATTTAGATTTCAATTAAAAATGCCTTTCACGCTGGGCATGGTGGTGCATGCCTGCAATCCCAGCAATTTGGGAGGCTGAGGCAAGAGGATCACAAGTTTAAGGCCAGCCTGAGCAACTTAGTAAGGCCCTAAGCAACTTAAGGAGAACTTATCTCAAAATTAAAACAACAACAATAAAAAAACACTTGCAGAGCAAAGGGGCCATCAACCTTAATTTCCACTGGTGACTCACCAGTCTAAACATTTTTTTTGTATCACGGAATGAACTCAGGGAGCTTAACCACTAAGCCACATTCCAAATCTTTATTTTGAGACAGAGTTTCACAAGTTACTTAGGGCCTTACTAAATTGCTGAGGCTGGCTGGAAACTTGCCACCCTCCTGCCTCAGTCTTCCAATTCACTAGGATTACAGGCATAGGCCTCCATGCCCAGCTCACCCTCCCCTCCGTTACATTTTACTCTTGACCTGAGTCCACAAAGACAGAGCCTTTGAAATGGAATATCCCAACTAGGTGTGGTGGTGGATACCTGGAATTTCAGCAATTGGGGAAGATGAGGCAGGAGAATCATAAATTCAAGGCCAGCCTGGACAACTTAGTGAGACTTTGTCTTAAAATAAAATTCAAAGGGCGGAGGATGTAGCTCAGTAGTAAAGCATTTGCTAGCTTGCACAAGGCCCTAGGACTGATTTTCAGTACCAAAAAAAAGACAAAAATAAACAAACAAAACAAAAAGAAATACCACTCCTTTTATATCTCTAATATTAGGCAAAAATAACAGGATTCTGAACAAGTTAAAGTAATGGAAATTACTTAGAGAAAATGACAGTTCATGCTAAGAATTTTACCTTCATAATTATTGATGTGCAGAGAGAGATTCATGATAATGAATTGATGTGCAGAGAGAGATTCATGGGCTGGAGGTGTGTAGCTCGGTGGTAGAGGTCTTGCCTGGCATACTTTGCATACTAAAGTCCCAGTTTTAATGCATAGCAACACATAAACACACACACAAAGGCACATTACAAAATAGCAATTTTTGTCTGCAATGCAAAATTTTATATCATATATAAAGAGGGAAATATAAGACAGGGCAGAATCTGAAAATACACCCATAAAAATGTTAATAATAGTTAATTCTGAATAGAGGGCTCATAGGGGATTTTTAATTTTTGCATTATTTTTTTCTTTTTTCCTGATGTACATGTTTTACATTTGTTTAAAAAGATAAGGCAATACAGCTGTTTTCATTTTGTAAAACTAAAAATGTTAAACTACTTCTTACTGCACTTAGAACCTTGAAGAGCTACTTAACCAACTCACTGGCTTCTCACCTTTTGGGGAGATAAAAAGGCAGAATGAAGAGTGGAGGAATTTAATTTCTTCACCAAAACAAAACAACAACAAATACTTATGTGTTATAACATCGACTTTATAGAGGGGGTCACATTAAGGCTTCCATATTCTTTGGCTAATCAACAACCAGTACATAGCAAGCTTCCTTCAAGGTCAGCTCTCCCCTTCCCATTACAAGTTCATTTCCCTCTCAGAGTGCTCACTAGAGTGCTTGAGGATAGTGAGAGAGATTTTCCTTCCAGATCTCCACACTCCATTTCTCTAAGTTATAATATTTTTTTTCTGTGTCCAATTTTTCTTCCTTTTCTACTTTTCAATCTTTCTAGTCCTCCTTTCTGGGTATTGCTCCCAGATGTTTTAGATAATTTACTCTAAAAAATGAGTATTTTGAAAACTGTGACTGTCTCCAGAGCTGAAACAAACCCATACCCAGTGTTTCAGTTATCTCTGGCAGAATAGCCTACCCCCAAACCCCCACCCCTGGGCCACTCCTGCCCAAAAAAATCTGTGTGGAGGTAGCAGGAAATGCCTCCTGGGTTGCTCTTCTGTTTATTGTCCATGATTCTGTGGGTCAGAGTCTGCAGGGAATGGCTCATCTTTGCTCCATGTAGCATCAGTTGGGCCTGTGTGACAGCTGCAGGGTCTCAGGTGGCCCTTTTCACACATGTGGAATTTGGCTGTTGGTCAGGGTGTCCTGGTTTCCTCCACGTGGCTACTGTTGTTCCAATTAGTCTCTCATTATTCTACAGGTTAACCTGAGTTCCCCTGCCCAGTGGCTGATTCCAAAGGGGATGAAAACAGAACCTTCAAAGTCCTAAGACCTTCAAGTCCCACAGCACCACCCTGATTCTACCAGTCAAAGCAAGTCACACCCAGAATCAAGGGGTGGGAAAACAGATTTCCCCTCTTGCTGCAAAAATAGTAAAGGTTATGCAGGCAGAAGGAGTTGTTGTGGACATCTTCAGGAATAATTCATCTAATATAGAGTTCAAGATTAAAAAAAAATTTTAAATGAGCTTAACAATCATGGTAATGATAATAATATCACCAGTGAGAGGTTTTTTTTTTTTTTTTTTTTTTTTCCTACTGACACTTCCACTTTCAGCCCTCATTTGCCTCTCCTCTCCTAGCTGGAATATTAGCCCAGAAAATCGTGAGTTCTTGCTGTATTACCCTTGTCTCCCTCTTCCTCCACGTGCATTCCCCAGATGCTCACTCTTACTCCTCTGCTTTTCTCTGGTTCTTTCCTTTTCTTGGAGGATTTCATCTGTTCCCCAGGCTTCAACTGACACTCTACCCTGAAGACTCCCGAATTTTAATTTCCAGCCAGCCTGAAACTGCAAGTGCCTCCTGTATGTCTCTATTTGGATATCTCACAGGTAACCTCAGCTTTGTGTGTCCTAAACCAATTTGGCATTTTTTATCCCCCAAAGCTACTTACTGTTCTGTTACCCTTTCTCAGACAATGGTGTCCTGTTTCATCTAGTGAACCAAGTAAGAAACCTGGCAGTATTCTTCAATACTCTCCTCTTCCTCGTGCCCCAATCCAGCTACCAGGTCCCACCTGCTCTTTGTTCCAGCCTCTCCACGCCTGCTGTCATTTTCTTAGTTCAGGCTGGCTTCATCTTTGCTGCCTACATTACTTCAAAAGCCTTGTCACTGGTGTTAGTCCCACCCTCAGCTCCATTCTTAACACTGGGCCACAGTGAGCTCCCTTTGCCATCATCCCTTGCTAACACTTGTTAGCAAGAGTCTTTGGGATAAAAGCTCTACATTAAAAAAAAAAAAATTGACATCCCTATGGCACACAAAGGCCTCTTATACTCTGGGCTGCTTTCCTTAAAGACTAAGCACTTCACCCTGCCTCTCGAATTGTAATCCAGATAATTCAGAGCATCCTGAATGTTCTCTATTCTCTATCTCCAACCAACTCTCCCAGGTTAGAGATCAACTGGGGAGAGCTAGGCACAGTGGAGCATGTCTGTAACCAGTGGCTCAGGAGGTGGAGGCAGGAGGATCCCAAGTTCAGAGCCAGCCTCAGCAATTTAGGGAGGCCCTGAGCAACTCAGTGAGACCCTGTCTCTAAATAAAATATAAAAAGAGCTGGGGCCATGGCTCAGTGGTTAAGTGCCCCTGGGTTCAATCCCTGGTGCCAAAGACACTATGACCTCTCCTTGAATTCTGAAGAAAACCAATGTCTCATACCATGTCCTGTAAATTCTACTTGTCTTTGTCTCCTATCCAAGCTTCTTTAGAATAGGGACCTAACTTCACTGCTTTTGTTGCAGTGCCTAAAACCCGTATTAGATGCTCAACAAATATTTGTTCAATGGAGTGGACTAATGAACAAAAACATAAGCAATGCAGTGTTTATCTCATAGAGATGTGAAAATGTACCACATGCTAGAGAAACAGGTGTCATGGGCTGTAGCTGTGGGCAAGGGAAGGTCTGGGTGGAAGATGAGGTTGGAAGGATTGGGAGAGTACTTGGGGACAGACTAATAGCTCAGGATGGGATGGCCCTTTATCTGCTGACAATGGGAGTCAAGGATCATTTTTAAGTAGGGAGTGTCATGACTGGATTATGGTTTAATAAAGCCATTCTTGGTAAGGAGTTCGGCACTGAAAAACAGCTGGTGTGTGGGTGGACGTTGGGAAGGGGGATTGCAGGTCATTTAATCCAAGCAAGATCTGAAGATAGATTGACCTAGAACAACATTTGAAGGGTAGAAATAGTAAGAAAAGACACTTCTATGGCAAAGCTGCAGGGACCTGGGGACTAACTGGATCCGCGGGCTTTGAGGGAGGAAGGTGAATGTTGGATGGGTGACAAGGAACCTATGCAGGTGTAGAAACAGCAGTTTTAGTTTTGGTGATATTGAGTTTGAGGTGCCTGAGGGACCACTGTCTCTGGATCTCTAGAAATTGTGCCACTACCACCCTATTCCTCCTACCCCTTTCTCTTTTCTTTCCTCTTTTGAATAACTCCCAGAAGTCATGAATGCTCCCTGCTGCTCAGCACCCTGGGGCACCATGCTGGCAGGCCCCACATTCCTGAGGAAGGCACTGGGTTTAGGCCTGAAGGGTCTGGCGTGGCCACCCCAGGGAGGCAGCTCCCTGACAGGAAGGAAGGCTGGCCTGCCGGCTGGGCACACACAGGAGCTTCCTTTGCTGCAGCAGGTGCCCAGGCCAGCTGCTCCAGCCCCTCAGGCTCAGATCAACAGGATGGGACAGCCCAAGCGGAAGGAAGCCTGCAGGGAGGGACACCCCTGCAGACAGAAGCAGGGGTATGGGGTGGAGGGAAGCAGGAAGAGCTGCCTGGGCTGCTGAGCTGGCACTCCTCCAGCAGATTCAGGAGAGGCGGTGACAGGGGGAATCACTCAGTTCTCATCTCCCACCCGGGTCCTCTCTGGCCCTGGCCAATGGTATTATTACTACTGTTGGCTAACTTGGGCTTTAGGCATACCAGAAGGAGCCACTGGAAGATGTTCATAGATTATCAGTTTCTAAAAAAAATAATTCCGTTCTATGCACATTCTGAGGTTATTGGGAAAGGACTTGCATTATTAGCCTTTCAATTATGCAGAGAAATTAGACAGCTAGCAGGAAGGGCAATGAATCCCGACAGGATCGGCCTGTCCAGAGGAGAAGATAAACCTCCGGTTTGCTTTAAGCCGGGTTATCACTGCCCTGTTCTCCAACAGCTGCTGTGAACCCGCACAAATGGTCAAAAGGAAGGGGGGAGGGGTGAATAAGGAACTAAACCAGAGCCACGGCTGTCTAACTGGGAGTTCCCAGCCTCTGCCCTGGCTGCAACACACAGGCGATTTTCCTTTCAGAAACCCAGGCTGTCAGAGGCAGGCTGGGGGATAAGGTTAGGGTGGGGGTGGGGGTTGGGGGGGCGCGGCATGTGTCTTGGACCTGGCCAGGGACCCTACCTCCAGGCGCTCTCAGACTGCAGGCTCCTCCTCACCCCATCCCCACAACTCGGTTTCCAGGCAGGGCGTTTCCGAAGGCCCTGGTCCGAGGTGTGGGGGTGGGGTGAGGAAAGTGGGGTCTACCTTTGAAACAGCTTGTAGACTGTAATTTAAACTTCGACTACACCGAAATCAAACTCGATTCGCAGCGGAGTGCCGCTCCTAAGAAAGATTAAAAAAAAAAAACAAAAACGGGTCTAGGCTCCCGGCTACGCTGCTGGCCCTGTTGCCGGGGCTTCCTGCAGTCCCCAAGCCAGCCTCTCGGTCGCTCAGGAGGAGGGATGGGCGGGGCGGGCAGGAGCTGGCAAAGCTGCCGGCGCCGCAGATGGGGAGGGCAAGCCTTTGCCGGCGGCCGAGTGTGGGCGGGGGATGCGCGAGCAGGTGTCTGTTCGACTACAGGGCTCCCGCCACCCGCGCGGCCCTGGTGCTCCCCAAGGCTTAGCGAGGCAAAACCCAGCAAATGCTCCAGATATGCAGCTCAGTTGGTCACCGGGCTCCGCTTTCTCGCTAGAAGCGCAAGAGGACGGCACTTTCAATGCAAATCTCTTGGCTCTGGCCCCTTGGCTTCCAGCCGCGGCCGCCCCCGCCCGCTCGGCGTCCCGCCCACTCCGTGGCGGGCTAAGACCCGGCCCGGCGCGAAAGGGACGGGGCGGAGCGGGCATCCCTCCCCACCCCCCCCAACGAGCCCGGCCCTCCGCAGTGCCTGGGCGCGCCTCCCCGTTAGGCCCCCGCCCGCTGCACACCCCCACCCCAGGCTAGGGAAGAAGACAAGCGGCGAGGGGTAGCGAGGGGTGAGGGGCGTCACTGAGTCAGGTGGCCACGGGAGTTCCCCAGGGCTGAGCCGAGGGAACACGCTGCCGGGGGTTGTGTACACGCTCCACTGACATAGCTTCACGCTGCCGGGCAGCCGCTGATCACGCGTGGCCCCGGGAGCCCATTGGCCGGTGCCTCACACACCTTTGCTGCTGATTGGCCATCCCCAGGCTCCGCCCCCGCCCCCGCCCGCGGCGCGGGGCAGGCAGAGCGGCTACCTGAATGGGGAGGGGGCAGACGGCGCGGAGCGCAGCGGCGGCGGGAGCGGCGTCGAGTGTCTCTGTGCGCCCGTCTGTGGCCAAGAAGCCAAGCAGCCCACCAGCCAGTCACCTCGCCGCCTGCGTCCAGGCAGCCAACCATGCTCAACTTCGGCGCTTCTCTCCAGCAGGCTGCGGTAAGTCACCTGGGGATGCCCCTGTCCTTCTCTTCCTTGCAGTGTCTGAAGACTAGCGGGGTGCGAACCCTAGCCCCAGACATCAGCCACGCCTGATAATCTGGGCTGTAGCAGAGTCATAGGGAAGGGAATTCCTGCTTGCAGGCTGTGGGCATTAGCGAGGGCATGTGTGCTGCAGAGAGGGTCGGAAGATGCGACTGGGACCTGGAGACCGGGAAGAGGGATTATGCTCCTAGGTGTACTGAGGAACAGGGGCAGCTCCAGCTCCGCTGGGAGACCTAAGGAGGCTCTCGAGGGGGTAGTGGGGAGGGGGCTGCTGCTCTGGCACCGAGGTTAGGGGAAAATGTGAGGTAGTTAAAGAGGAGGAAGGGGGCACCCTTCACCTGGCTCTAGGGAGAGATGCCCCTGTCTGCATCAGGAATGCGACCCAGGGTAGGAAAGGGCTGCTCGCAATCTTTCGAGGGGCTGGTGTCCAGAGAAGCAGCAAGAAGGCTGCTCATCGTAGGGGGTCTGAATGGAGTCTTGCAGGACGGAGACTGCCAGCTGAGGACCGCCGGAAGGGGGCTGCTCAGTAGATGGCCAGATAGCCCGGAGCTGGGGGAAGGGGCGCCCGGTATCGGCGTGGGGGATGCCACGCGGGCCCTGCGGTCGCCTAGGGGGACGAGGAGCCCCCGCAGACGTCGAGAGGGACTCCCATCTCCGGCGAAGGCAGGTGGCCGCCTTCTGACGACTCCTCGGAGGGGGCAGGGAGTTGCCTCCGGGGTCGAAGGGTGGGGGAACAGGATCAGCAGCTGGGCGGGAAGGTGGGCGGGGGAGCTGGGGCTGCGAGACACGGGGGCTGCGTGTCAAGGCGGGAGCTGTGGGCCGTGG